CACACACACACACACAAACACACACGTACACATATACACACGCGTAATCGAGATACGTGTACACACGGTCGTCGCCGCCGCCACGTGTTCGTCGGGAGACGTCACGATGTCGATCATCCGCAACGTCGGCTGCCATGGCTGAAACGGCGGACGACCACGTTATTGCTGGAATGTACATTCGTTTCTCTCACGACACAGAATCCGACGCACATTTCGCTACCGTCGCATTCTTATTGTACTTCATGTATATACGGGATGGTACGGTACATTTCAATGCGAAAATCACGCATGGGCTTAAGTTCGCGGATGCCCGCCGGACGTAAGCTATCGTTATCGCGGCGACTCGATATCGGCAATAAACAAACCTCCCGCCTCATCGCAGGGATTGTCCCGTGTCCAGATTTAATCCTCCTGTTTGATTATTCGACAATTATAAATTTTAAATTGATAAATTTATCGACAATTATCGAAGATGAATCGTAGACGATGATTATTTCGTTTCCTCTTGCCACATTCGTTCTGAGATGCAGCCCGAAGCCTTCGAAAAACTCGAATACATCGGATTGGAAAGATACTGAAACGGGACACCTTGTAGAGGGAAGCGAGCAATAACAAAGCAATTTTACCACCGTTTTGCGCATTATCTGTACGAGATGAATCGCGCGATCGCGAAGAAAAATATTTTACGAGTGGCCGGGAAAAATCGCGATTACGCGCGGTTGCGCAATTCCGGTTGCGAATAATGTCCTCGTCCCCGTGACTTCGTTCGAGAATTTCCGAGTTTCTCGGGCGAGCACCGTGATCAGGAGGCAAAAGTATTTTCAAAGACGCGTCTATCGTCTAAAGATCATGTTTAAAATACGCGTTGAAACAAATTGTGCTGTTTTATCGGATATTTTTGAGCCGTGTGGAAAAAGTCGACGTGCAATTAAAGCGAGGAATTAGACGTGAGTTCTTCTTCGAGATCTGTCGCTCGACGGAACGCAGACATTTTTCTTTCGTGCGAACATTGCGTAACACTACCGCAAAATCTAACGGGTGTGCCCGGCGTGAGCGATTAGATGTGCGACGAGAACCACGCCTATCAATTTACTCGCGACTCGTATCTTCTCGATACGTTACGGAGAAGATATATTTCATCGAGAATACTTTTTTTTTTGTTTTTTGACAACTAAACGAATAGCGTTTCTGAACGGACAGAATTTTTTTCTGTACAATGCTTGATTCGTTGTTAAATGCGAGATGACTTTTGGACGCGACGATGGAGCTTCAATCAAATTAACTAAGCGTGCTAAAACGCTAGGCGAATCGATCCTCTTCGCGACGAAGATCGCGACCGACACTTTTTACGACACTTTTACGACTTACGCACATTTCTATCGAGTCGAGTCGAGTCGAGAAGGAGGAGGACGCCGAAAGAGTGCTTGTGCGAACTTGCTTGACTTTTGCAACTGTCCGTTGGCCTCGTTCTCCCTCTCTCTGTACTTTCTTTTTTAACATTGACACGTAATTCGAGAATATTAAGATATATTTATTTCTTAAGATTAACTCCCCCCCCCCCGATATTCGCAACGGTCGCTATGATAATTCACACTTTGCGGAGAAAAAAATAGAATATTAAGTCAGAGAGTAACTTTCAGAAATTTCACATATATATAAAACATATATATAAAACCTTTCTTTTCATTATAACATATATGTATAATATAAGATACATGTATAAAACAGCTTTGGGAAAAAATTTCACAAAAAAGAAAAAAGGAAAATCATCAGATTGCTATGAGTGATGATTACGTAACGATATTATAGCGGCGGCGAGTATCGGTGGATTCAGTTGCGCGCTGTTCCCTCTCGCTTAGATATTCACGCTCTTTGTATTTATTCATCGCGAATGGCGCGCGATCGAGAGACAATCTCGATCGCGGAATCTCGGGCTCGTCGCATCCGAGTGTGATTTGCGCGACATTTGACACGTGAGGACGGGGCAGAGGCGAGGAAATCGACGATGAAAAGAAGTCGCGAAGCGACTCCGCCTCGATCTATTACGTTCCGACGTTTAACCCTTTGCGATCGCGCCGACGAAAAGATTTTATTTTAGAGAGGGGAGGATCGTCTCCGTAGGAGACCGACTCGGGAGTGCCATTTCGGAATTTGGAAAAATAATAATGTAAGATATGTACAGTAGATCGATTTAAGGACGCATCTCGGTGTGGGAACGCAAAGGGTTAGAACCACAGGAAATTTCTCGTATTCTCTCGCCCGACGCCGGAGAGCTTTATGTAAGAGCTTTATATATGGAGGAGAATAGACGAAAGCACAGGCTCGCGAGTATTAATCAGACGTGCCCACATGCCCACGGCGTGCCTTCTTTTTATTTCCCGAGAGTTAATCGCGCGGGCGACATCCCTTCGGCGGCATGCGTTCTTTTTCCGAGCGTTAACCTGGGCGAGGAGATCGGTGGCGCAAGATGTATGAAAGTAACGGAAACCACATGTGATTTAGTCAGTAAGAGCGAGAAAAACCCCCATTAGAGTATAATGTCGTGTGGCGAGGTGTTGTGCGGTGGTTAATGACGCCCATGAAAGAGAAGTGATAACACACACATACACTCACACACGCGCGCGCCGTAGAGAGTTACGTATAACATTATACATGAGAGTAAATATTGCTATTTTAAAAAAATGTAATATTATATATATATATATACATACATATATATATACATATATATATATACATATATATATATATATATATATATATATATA